CCTGCCCTGAATCGGCTTATTATTTTTATCACCTCGAAGCGGTAACAAAAACAGCTTTCGTGAGGCTGTGTCACTTTGTTCTTGTTTATTTAACGGCGCTCCATACTTTGAAATAAACATTTGAGGGCATCCAATTTCGTGCAGTGCCTTGGATATACAGCGAACATCGAAGAGGAGCAGATTATTCTGGCTCTAGAGAATAAACTGCGTACCAACGATCGTTTGCATTGTATTGGACAGAAACTTCTTAAATTATGTATGTACACAGCTGACGAGATTACCACGAAACAGTTGAACACACCCTGTTATCATGATACTTCTTCTTACTCTCATGAAAATGTTAAAGGGAACTGGTTGCATGAAATAACACACAACGCCTGGGACTTGATTAACAAGGATTGACCATTAATTGAATGCGCTCAAGTTATCGAGGATAAATCAGGCTGTCGTAGGGTGAAGGTTTCGGTTCCTAATCTGAATGAAAGTTTGCAGTTAGAGTCTCATAATGAAAATTAAAAAAAACCCTGCACTGTCATATAGTCGCGAGTTGGATGAAATATCTGCTCAATGTGTGTGACGGTTCACTTTCTGCAGTGCACTGAATACTGTCATTTGATTGAACCTACAAAACATCTTTAGAAACGTTTAAATTTATGAATGATCAAGAGGATATTTGATCACTCCCCTTCATTGAACGTGTAGTGTTACAAACAATTTTCAGCACATTGCGCGAAGTCAAACAAGTCTACTAAGGATAGGTAATTCAGGCAACCATGTTGGAATATTCGCGTGAGATCATCAGACCGAAATGAAAGTCTCATAAACTGTTAGATCATTATAATCGGAACGGGATCCAATAAATTCGCAGCTCGATCGATAAACACCATATGGTTACTTGAATGATGCACAGATTCATTGGTCTCGTGGAATGGTTATATGGTTTGCCATCAAACTTTCGGTAGAAAACTTGCAAATCCTTTGCTGAGAACCATATACTTTTATTAAGGACTCACATTCTTTTAGCCGTGACGCACACTTCTCTATTCATGACCCACGAATCTTAAGCCATGACCCACAGTCTGTTAGTCGTGATGTGCAAACTTTACCTAGACCACTATGAGCAAGGTAAATAAAAAAGAAGCAGAACATTATGACGATAATGGAACTACTTTTACAAAAGCTTATGTTGCAATAGTTGAAACAAAAGGAGGTTTGATCATCAAGTAATGCGCAGTTGATCATCGTAACGGTATCAAATTCTGCCAATTCAATTCAATAAGACTTAAACGATGTGCATCTATCGTCAAACAATTGGACATACCCCGTTAGACTGTATTATTTTCAATGGACTAGTTTTTGTTGTACAAAAAAACGGAATGTAAATGTAGTGAAAAGCCTGTCTTTTTCGTCACAATAACCTTGTTCTCAACGCCGGGAGACTTTTAGATAGATAGCTCTTTCAGAACCAGTCTATTGAAGAATCCATTCTATGATTCGATGTTTTGTAGGTGAGCTTGACGAGCAGCGAGAACCGCGAAACGGGTAATGTGCTTCCAGCGAAATTTTGCTTAGTCATTCAAATACTACATATTATGAAGAGCCTATCTGTTTTAATGTGTCAAACGCCTCTTTCAGCTCCTGGATATGCATTAAAAACAGATGCGAACCAGCGTTCAAGAAGCGGATTAAAAACTGCCAACTCATTTTCGTTTCACAATCATCCCTAAAGGTACCGGTGATAACTTGATACGCCTACAAGTTCAAGTGAATTACTCTAGTTAACAAGAAAGTTTGAGCAAGCCCATGATAAAAATAGATAGGCATATTAGATATTTTTGTGTCGGTTAATCAGTCTGGTGTCTGTCAATGTCCCGTTACAAGGCGATGTATCTCAATTGCAATAAGTTCTTGTTGACTGGTTATTTTTCCATCTGAAAACTCAGATCGGAACTACTGTAATATGCTGATTAGGAGAAAATAATCTCATGGACACTAAGTTTCCATGATCCCTTTTGTTAGTTCAATACAAGCTTGATCGGCAATTTTAAAGTTGGCGGTGGTTGAGTTGGGCCCTGTTAGTGGTTTTTATACGATTATTTCCTTACACGCAAACAAAGACACGCGTGTTATTCTCTGCCTTCCATATACAACCCCCTCAACCCCGTCCGCAGTCGTTGTTTCGGTGGGGAGGTTTTTTATCAATGACGATTATTTGAAATCGGGTAGAGTATTTAGGTGTGATGAACCGTGGACTGTAGATCCTACTGACGAATATCCAATTTGGATGATATCAGGATATGCATCTTTATACGTACTGTTTGCTGACCACAAAAGAAATTGTGGAAGAGCAAACGTTTACAGCTGGGTGTCTTTGTATTTGTATAAATGTCCATCTCCGCGAACCAGTGTGAAATTCACATACAGTTCCGAAAGATGAACTGGGGAGGAATTATTGAGTGCGGGAATCTGATTTTCTTCATCCAGAAGCTACTTTTCACATCTGTATGATTTTGTGTTATTAGACAACCGTTTTCTTGGAAGTTTGCATTTGCTGTACACAAATTATGGTGCAAGAGTATTTGAACAGTCAGAATACGTGTATTCGTGTACTGACTACACTTATGTTCAGTTACACTCGATTTTCGTTCCGTCCCATTCACTCTTCTCACACATCATCACAAGACATCCGCTTTAACATATTAAGCATGTCGCTTCCTTTGTAGCAGGATGATTCATGTCACTTGTACTCCCACGCAAATTTCTATCTATCCAGAATCGGACACCAATTACTTTGGTTTAACTTTTGTACAGCAGTTGACTCGTCAATACTGGCTTTATAATGCTTCCGTGTGCCGGTTTTGTTCCCATTTTTCATATTCGGTCGAACCCCGGTCATTTCGACTGTAGTCGTTTAAGCAGTAGGAAATCAGTTGACTGAAAGTGGAAACCACCTCATCTAGTTCGTGATAAAACCCACCTTAACTATCGAGTACTAATGCTTCTCCGTTCTGATTGAAAAATGAAATATAAAGTGTCTGAAGCTACCGATGTGATTTTGGGGCCGAAATGGTGACAAACAAAATTGACAAAGGCGTGTGTGACACCACATGTCTTGAGTTCAACTAAGGACAATGATCATCAGGTTTTTAAAACAAGAGTACTTAAAATGAACTTTATTTCTTTAAACCTAATTGAAATGAATTTGTTAATTACTTGGAGATATTTTAGTTGAAATCATATTTCTTCGATTTTTGTTTCTGCTATGCAATTGTGTTTCATGTCATTTAGATCAACGCAGCAGCTTACCAAGACACCTGATTTCAGTCCGTCATTCCTTAAATACTTAGCGGCCGTCATGTATTCAAATTGCACGTGTTCAATACTGCTATCAGAGAACGGTATATTCCTGTTTCGCGGAGGCCGACGTTGAAGGGATGAACCTCTGCGAAACTCGGAATACGAATTCGTTTCACTTATCAAACATTCTCTAACCTAGATTGAATGCGAATCCATGTGGGATTACCACCATCAGTTCTGAACAGTGCGTGCTCTTCCGGCTTAGCTATGCGGCTACAGTGACAGCCCGTATCTTTTCAACTTGGGTGGTACTTATCCTCGGTTTTTCACGATTCGTACTTCAGAATTTTATCCGCAGATTAGTATAATTTGAACAGAATATCGTTTCACGAGATTAATGGAGGATTTGATCCAATTTCAAAGGTGAATTAGTCATGTACGTAACAACTGAATGTTTCCAATCGAGCCATAACCCGGAAGCTAGTGCTGATATGCGCGAGGTCTGTGGCCCTCAACAAGCTCGTAAAGATGGATTGGGCTATATCATGTAAGTGGAAAATGAAAAACGGTCTGATCAGCTGACCGGTGACCAAGCGGGTAGCATGCTTTCGTTTTGCCTGTGAGTTCCCGGGTACAATCCCCATTTGGGTCGGGAATTTTCGTTTGTTGTTGTCTCTTACTGCATAGATTAAACTCCTACGGTGACGTGTATGGGTCACTTTGTATAGTCTTATCCCCTCCCCACAAAAAACAAACAAAGAACAATTTGTAACATATACTCCGATACCTGGACGACGACGTTTGCATATTTCCAGTTGCCGATGAGTTGAAGCATTGCGCATTTTAGTGTGAATACAAGCGACTGAATTCCAGTTGCTCAGGGGTTGTACAAAATGGATTGTCAATAAGTCTTCAACAACTGACCTGAAAGGATCCTAGATCAAATAGATGAGGAAAGACTACAGTTGACAATGACTATAGCCACTAGCCTCTAGGTAAACTGGTCAGGTGCGAGACAGATGAAAAGATGCCCGAAGACCACAGTCCGAGACAACGAGCTATACGTTAGTCATCATCAGATCTTAAACCGAGAAGCCGTACATAACTGGCATGGTCAAAGTCACTGGTAGAGGTCCTTACACCTTCACATCACTTCATAATTTGCATTCCCTTTATCTTATTTCAACTATAGACGGCTTCGGAATACGCAACACCACTCAGTTTCCACAGACGTTGGGGATCGAGCATCATCGTAATGAGGGAATACGATTACCTACCACATAACCGCGCAATCTCGGTATTGTTTGTTCAACTCTCTCACCAGACTCATACACTTCGGGATAGAGTGGTGTTTGAACACCGATAATTTGCGTTTATTATTGAGAAGCATCGGTGGCACAGCACACAACACCCTATGATCATCATTGCGGCAGCGCTAAAGATATTTTAAACTGGTCAAATGCAGTAGAGATTCCTGTATGTATGATCACTGTTCATGTGCGATTTGTCAACTGAGAGGAGCTTAGCTGTCTATAATTTATCTCGGTAAGTACATTCGTTGTTAGATAGTGATTCGGATCTGCTTCGGCTTACACTCCTAGCAAAAGTTTGGTATTTGTACGTTTCCAGATAAGTTATTCTCAAAGTCAATCTTCTTTCACGCTGAACATGATTGCGTGGTCATGTTTATTTGTCCTTTCCAGTTTCCCCTACCTATTCCCACTGTGAATCCGGCTTTAGGGGAGAAAGTTCATGATATCAGTTGCGGTTTCGCTCATACAATACTCAATGTACGCATGACTGAAAGTGCAATGAATGCTGTCCAATCGGATGAACAGATGCATTTTATGAACTTAAGACAGACCGAGGCTGAAGAACGGATAGTGCCCCAACAACGAACGGTAAATCGTGGTCCCATGATCGCGAAAGACCCAGGCAATTCTACCTTATATGATGTGGTACTTGTTTGGGGCGTCGGCGAAAACGGACAATTGGGGAATCACTTCATGCGACCCAATGCCAAGCACAAACAGTGGGAACTTCGGAGTGCGAATAAAATGTATTTATTTGATGAATTGGTCTACAGTCCGCGGGTGCGAATCCATTCGAGGAAGAAGGTAAGCCTTTTGGGAAGTTGTTAGCCGATCTGAAATTGGAATGCGTTTTGAGACCAGCGCAATACAAAACCTTTTTATAGCATATTAGGACATCAGTTTAGTATTTTAGTTTTGGGTAAAGCAACGAGGCCCCTAGGTTTTGGGCTGAGCTTGGCATTTTGATTATACCACACCAACTCACATAACCGTACGTATCTTTTTAGTGAACGTTATATTCACAATAATGATATTTCTCGTGTCAATTATTGTTGATTTTACTTTACATATTTTCACGAAACTATATTCCATTTTATTGAGTTATTTGTTTGTTTGGATTATCCACCAGTAGGAAGAATGAGTTAGTAAAAATAAACCCGTATTAGCTGAGAATCTAGAAACTTTAAATGGGAACTCGTCGTGTATGTAGCAAATGAAGCGTGAACTGAAAAGCTAGGGAAAACGGTCGGATTAGCTGCCCGGTGGTCAAGTGGGTAGCATGCTTGTGTTCTATTCACGAAGTCCCAGGTTCGATTCCAAAGTAGGTCGATGGATTCGAACTGCTTGATGAGACCCAACTGGGTCGAAACAGCTGTCCATTGCTTCTTAGCTTCTCAGTTCACGCTTCATTTGCTATTTACACGACGAATTCCCATTTGAAATTTATTCAAATCCCCCATTACTCACATGGAATTTAGAAACTCACAGATGACTTGTCAAATGGTTGCATTCTGTTGAAATTTTCGTTCTCTGGGTTCAACCAAAACCAATGCAATGTCATTGCACAAGGGACTAAAATTGAGGAAACTATACATAAACACGCTTGAATGGCTAAGATTAGTCATCAAAGATCTTGGGACAAATACAAACCACTCCTGATCGATCAAGTGAACCGCCTGAAACTTGTGTTCACATGTGAAAAGGTAGTGGTCGCGAATGTAAACCGATTAATAACTACCACGATCCATGAATCTCTAAGGTTTGTGATTGTGTTATTCTCTATGTTGATGTGTTTTATGATTATATTTGTATTTGGTATTTGTAATTTTATAATTAGTGTAAGCTTAAATGTTGTGTATGCTTACAGTTCAGTTAAAAAATGTACACTGGTCGTTGCATGTAATAAAATACACAGGTTCACATGACATGCAAAGTAAAGAATGTCGTTAAAGTTTGTTTCCTGTGCAAAACCTTTAACTTAATTCATTTGAGACCTGTTCCCTATTGGTTAGGGGTCGGGTCAGATAAGATACGGGGGAATTCTTAAAAACTGCTAATATGGTGGGATAAATGTCGAAAAGCGGAGCTCGTAGACGGGTGAGAACGAAGACCAGGATGCAGTGGATCGGGAGGGTTGTCTAGAATATTGTCGGAAAATTCAACACAAGCGTTGATTTGACCAGTAATGAGTTCTGTGATCATTTTATCGATTGGGATTAAAGATGCACGACTGCATATCACCTTACCAAGACGAATGGTTTTCCAGTCTTGTTTTAAAAGGGCGGGAAACATTATAGAAAAGAAATAGAATAGAATGCTTAAAACGCATTGGTGAACTGAAGAGGACAGAACTGATTGTGGAGTTCGAAATTTCCCGATTTCACGCAACTTAAAAGCGAGGCGTCTCAGTTTTCCCATACAACTGGAAACGTGTTTGGACCACCCGAGATTATTATCATTTGTAATACTCAGGCACTTGATTGAGGTCATTCTAGACAGAGGTGCACAGTGGAACGTCCAGAGTCCGTTTAAAATGAGAGGTGAGAAAGACTAAAGAAACACTCTACGCACGTAGATGTGTCAGAACTGAGATCGGATTGGTTCGAAAACTGTTGGACGTGGGATAGAGTTTCAGTGAGAATCAAATTACGAAGGAGATTAAATTGTCCGCAACAAAATGATGTCAATCTAATTTTGGGTGTGTGCAAGGGGTTGGACCGAAGGAATACTAATAAAGTCATAAAAGAGATATGGAATTAGAACAACACCTTGAAGCACATCGAAATTATTAGCAAAATGATTTGATGTCCTCCTCCCTAATTTGATGCACTGGACCCTCTCCGTGAAATAGCCAGCAAGCCATGAGAGCAGCTCTCTTGGAGTGCCAAAAGATTCAAGTTTGAAAAGAACAGATGATCGATAAACGAAATTGAACGCCGAATAGTCAAGAACAACGCAACAGACAGCCTCAGCGGAATTATTCAATAACTCAGTGATGATATGGATCAGAGTGGATACGGTGTCCAGCATGGATCTGTTTGGTTTGTGTGCAACCTGACGGGGGTTATGAGGAATTATGTTAATTAACTGCGGGCGACACAGGATGGCCTTTACAGTGAACTTTAGAGCCGCTGAGGCTCGTGCGATAGGACGAAACCGTTTCGCAAGAGGATTCGAGGATTGGAATAATGGTAACTCGACGCCATGAATCAGGAATCGGTCGGGAAGATAAAGATTCACTAAAGAGGTATGTCATTATATTGGTCAGGGAAGCTGCTTCAAAATTCATAAGTGCCGGATGAAGACCATCAAGATTTGTGGATGAATATGCTTTGGAAGGTCGGAGAAGCTCAAAGATCTAATCATTCGAAAAATGTACTGAATGGGATTCATTGCGTGGGAAGGAGGGAATCTGTCGCTCGTTTGACCGGTGGATGAAAGCGGCTTTATCGACGTCCTCCGGTCTATTCGAGTGTTTTCTGTTGTCCTCACAGAAAAGGCGTGTATCTTGACATAAAATCCTAGTTTTCTTTGTTCGCATAATTCGGGCAGCAAAGATTGTATTCAGACGCGTTATCTCAGACCTGATTACGTCAGAATAATGTCCGGACGAGAATGATTATTGATATTAGGCATGCTTAACATCGATATATTGATGAAACAAACGCAAAGTGACTACGAGTAGGAGAGTGTGGCGCAGTCAGTCAAAGGGTGCGCTACAGCGCTACAACAAGAAACAAGACTACAGCACCGAAATCATCGAGTTGGCTGAATAGTACGTGTTCATTTTCCCTGAGGTGATTTTCACTCGCATGATCACGCAGCTAGACATTCATCCACAATGCTGACCATCGATCGCTCACTTCAAGACTAGCGGTTCCATGTTCTAACCCAAATTGATCTCGGTTCCAGTCTCGACTGGTGTGGACACAAAATGTTCGATCTGCCGAAAAGTCCCCCAAAGGAAGAAATCACGGTTCAGTGAACAGCATGCCCTTTAACCACCAAGCTTGTTGAACAACGGAAAATCAAGCTATTTAGCTCAGGGTGCCACATCAGCCAGTATAATGTTAGCGTTTTTTCCTATCATTCTCGTCATGTGATACAGTAATCACAGGGCTGACTGTGAAAACAAGGCTGGAATGAAACACATCGTAAACAAAAATCGTGGAGTCGGTGCGTGACAACACGAAGCTTATCATCCGAAAGGAAAACGGAACAAGGAACTTCAATTCCTTCATCCCTCCATTTCGGGAAAACTGTTCAAAACTGCCGTTTGTAAAACATTACCTGACCTCACGCTTTGAATCGGGACTCCACGGTAAAATGAAACTGCACAAGGCATCCATCATAAAGACAAGCTTTGAAGTACCAATTCCTCGGAAATGAAGGCTCAAAAAGTGAAACTTATGTGGCCACGCAACAGTTTGGATTCAACGGTGTTAAGAACAAATTAAGTACAAGGTTTAAAAGTAGGATAGGAGCAACCGTTTGGGATAAAGGGTCTCTAATAATGTGAAGGAAGATTTCTGGAGAGAGCACAGAATTTCACAAGAGATCCCAGTTTAGTGGGAATATTTTGAAATCATCCTATCAACACAACAAAATGTGATGGATCACAGTGCATAAACTCAACTTCGGAAACAACTGATGTAACAAGAAAAGAACCCCGGATTTCACCAATATGCCAAAACCGTGATCATGGTGGACCAGACGCAACTGATCACCTCTATTTGACTAAACGTGTGACTTGTATACTGAAATGGTAAGTTTGAAGAAAGTACTTTCACACCACGGAACTCGGATTTTATTACGTGGCGGGAATTCAAAAGTGTAAATCTTTACAGAATTTTCAATTGATAGTAGAAAACACTATTAGAACCTCTGTTCACACTGTCCCAAGGGATCCGTTCTAAAAAAGCATACCACCAATTTGTGTAAACCTTTACGACTTAGTTCTGATAGATTTCAGCTTGATGTTCTCCTTACAGATTGGTTGTGATGCCGCAATGTTAGCGAAAGCTTCCTTTGGCATTTCCGCTGGAAGGTTTCACTCAGCAATTTCATCAAGTCAGGAATTGCTGATCTTCGGTACGTTCAACATATTGTGTCCTCGTTAATTGCACCTTGGTGATATGTGATACACAACCACCAGCTATATCTCCTACCTCCAACTGGTTTTTGTTTTGTTTTGTTTTTCAAGGATCAAGTCTGCGTGATCAGACTGGACGAGACAGAGTCGACATGCGGCCTATACAGACAGACTCAACCTTTGTCGTACTTAGAACGATGCTGCATCCGACAGAGGGTGTGTTAGCATCGATCCTATCCAGCTGGTTGACGGGACAAACACCGGACCCGAGCAGTTGGCGATTGCGTGTGTACGAAATCCACAGTGGAGGTGTGTTCACACTTTTGCACGCGGAGGTGGTTCCATTTCCACCCACGACAGATGTAAGTCCCTGTGTTCGTGATTCCGGACAACACCTACGCGATCCCAATTGTCACCGGTCGCTCGCACGCGTCAACAATTTGTGCGGTTTGTTTTGTGTTGGGGTACATGCTAACTGGATTGGATCTCACGTAGCAGGTATNTATTGGTTCGGCTAGATGTGATCTGCTTCTTTCTTATGCCACTGACATCACGTGATCGAGGTGGTAAGTATTCACGCAAAGGTGTGTAGAGGCCATCATATAACTGACGGAGACGTATTGCTAAGCGTATGACTGGATTTAATCCGGAAACTATTAGTGAGATCACGCTGTAAGAGTCATGTTGGAATGGGGGCCGATAAGCTAGATTTCAAGTGGATCACGATAAGGAAATTCTTCCATCATGTGGTAATTTAAAACCATTGGATAGTTAGAACATCATATGACTGATGGTTACTGTCAGTTAGCTACACAAGATCGTAGCACGTAGTTTACGAAACAGGGTATATAGGATTGATACGGACAGTTTCAGTTTCTTTCTGTTCGGTATAATAACAGTTTACTCAACTTGAAACAGATCGATCAATGGAACACAAACGATATTCAAAGAGATATTTGGCAGATTTCAAGTTTTCATTGCGATTGTGAAAAGTTCAGTATCCTCGGTGGGATTCGAACCCACTCAGGGACGCCTACACTCTGTGCGCGCATACTCTACCAGCTAAGCTACGAGGCCACACCGATAGCACTGATCTTTTCACATTCATGCTATCGGTGTGGCCGTGTAGCTCAGCTGGTAGAGCATGCGCGCACAAAGCGTAGGCGTCCATGAGTGGGTTCGAATCCCATCGAGACTACTGAACTTTTCACAATCGCCACAGAAACATACGACGTTCCTCAAAACCTGTGTTATTGTGCTTTTCACACACACATACACACACAAACTACACGATTGTGTTGGCTGTGGTAACAAGCATAGTCACGGTAACCAATGAGTTAGTTTATCACTAGAATGGTTCCATCAGAAGATGGATGTGAGATTCAATATTTAAAAGATTATCACATTTTCAGAACAAAAAGAGATGTAAATGAAAGACAGCAGGAAATTCGTAGCTTATGAAATGAATGTGACAAGGGAATAGACGACGATGTAGCCTGGAACTGATCGATAGGGTAATACACGGATGCATAACATGTAATTATCGATGCATTGGCATTTATAAGAATAAGCTAGAGACGTAAATTCTGACTTGTAAACTGCAGTGATTGATACCATTTTCTTTTGACTGAATTTTTACTTTCGATTGAGGCTGGATGATCAGATAAGCAGCCTGTGAACATTTATTCATTCATCCATTCCGGCAAAACTGTGAGTAACTTGTCACGGTGACCTAATGCGGAAAGCTCAGAGATTGCACTGTGTTCTTGGGTTTCGGCTGATTACAACATACACATTGCACAAAGGCGTAATCGGAGTCCCTACCTGAGTCCGAAACCCATCAGTACTCCCGATCTTTTCACCAACTAGGGAGGGCTGACTCGATTATCTGCCAAAATGTGTTGTTTAGTACCGTTTAATGTAGAGCAGTGTTTTATTGACGATCAATCTCGGAATAGGCTGTTTTGACTGACTGTGAAACAATAGGCTCACGCATGGGGACAGTTGAGGTGATGAAAACACAAAAGGGTCGATAACCGTCCGCTATCATGGTTACTCTTTGCATCCACCAATCTCTTCAATCTAATCGTGAGATGAGTGCTCAAAGTGAGAATAACTTGGGCCGGAAAAATCGACCTAAAACAAATAGGTCTTTACATTTTGNGGGGGGGGGGGGTTGAATCATGAGTGCTGTGCATGTCGTAAATGTCATGCATCATTATTCCGATAACAAAAGTTGTGATCTGTGCTCATCTATCTTGAGCAGTAACTTCTATTCATATAGGATACCTGATCGATCCAAAACTGTGTTCTTCCCGTCCATTTTTGTTGTCCGGTCGGTGCTGATCACTCGAATGAACATGGCGAAAATCAACAATGACATTCAGCTCAGCATCATGCAC